AAATGTGTTTGCCCTTCACCAGAACACAGTTTCATCTTCGTGATCCTTTAATCCTCTCACTCATTGCAACTAAAAACCAATGAGACACTTGCTAAATGCATCATCCTTCCTGCCCCCTCCACTTCTGGGTCTCAACCTCCTTGCACTGCCTCCTTTTGGCTTCTCCAATTCCCTGTGCACATTGTTGAGTCACGAGGGGAACCTTCAGGTGACTCATGTGTCTTGTTTCTTTTCCAGTTTGCTGTTCCAGTTGAAGAAACAAAGTATGCCTGTACCTTTATCCCATTGCCCATGGTCAAGCAGAAACACCATATCTACAAGGTAAACTTGCAGGCTGTATTACTGGAGAAAAAAACAGACAGGACAGACTTGCTCCTTCAGTCATGCATACAAGTCTGTCTTTTACAGAATTGTCATATAAATCTGGGAGCATTCTATCTGTCCTTCACTGCCATTGGGATGAGTCAGATAATTTGCCTGGCTTGTGTGAAGATAATCTCTGCATTGTTTCTAGCTTTGGAATTACCTTTGTCCTTATATACATCACACCTGAAGAAACCTTGCTACAAGTCTGATGTCTCAGTCTAGTGAGCTCAGGCCGTGTTACCTGTTGGTAGCTTTGAGAGCAAAGGGAGCCTCCAAAATTTCCTATGTGTGAAAGGACTTTTGCTTTTGTCCTGGGAAATTGCTAAGATTATTTGTATAAAAAGCCAACATTTTTACAGTCCTGTTTTCAAGACTGAATATGCAGAAAAGAAGAGAAAAGAAAAGAAACAAGAACTTTCCAAAGCAAGCCTAGCTTACTTCTCAAATTGCGATGACTTTGCTTCAAAGGCCAAGCAACCTGTCTTAGTTTTGTGGGTTTTGAAGGTTTAAAAAAAGATGTTCCACTGCAATGGCATAAGGCAAAATTTAATAAGGAAAAATTCGCATGGACTGGAAAAAAAGAAGAATTTAACAGGTAATCCTACAGAACAAACTCAGGAGTTTTAGTACGTTCTTGTGGTAACATCAGGATTTTGAAACCTGACCTCATCAGTGCTGGTAAAAAGTTCAGTAATTACTGAACAGACCCAGGTTATTTGCTGGGTTTATTTTAAACTATCTTGATGATAGTACTTTTGGCACAACTGAGGGGAGCACTGAACTATAGTGAACCTGAGATTAAGGTCCCTTATCTTGCTTTGCAGCCAAAATAATGGTGTATGAGGTAAACTACCTACATTTCTAGTCTGGAACTACACTGCTCAGCATAACAGGTCAAACAGATACCCCTGTGATTCAGATTAAGGAGAGGTGCTTTAGAGGAAGATACAAATCCTTTCTGGAAAAATGGACTCTGCTGGGTGCATACCAAAATGAGTAGGTAAATCATCATCCAGATTACCATCCATTTTGTGAATCAGATTATATCTGTTTGCCTAACCTGTGGCTCACTGCTCTTTCTGGTTGCCTGGGAAAGAAATGTTTTAGAATTGACAATAACTTTTTATGACTTCTTCTTTTGGTTACAGTTTGAGCCTGTAATAACACCCCACAACATAACCTTAGTTCATCATATTCTTGTTTATGCCTGTGGCAACGCCAGTGTGTTACCCAGTGGCGTAGACGATTGTTATGGAGCCAATCCAGATTTTGCCCTGTGCTCGCAGGTGCTTGCGGGCTGGGCTGTTGGAGGAGAGGTGAGTCTGCAGGGCCCATGCCCTTCCCCATTTCTGGTATGAACAGTAGTACCCGTGTTGTCAGCTTGTTCAATAAGACCCCACAGTCCTGCAGGGCCAAAAGAAAATGGGGAAGTTTCCTCATACTGTCCCCACTTGACTATACTTCTGCTGCATCAGGTGATACTGGCAATTCCTATGTAGCTGTTGGCACTCTGCATATGTGTATATGTTACATCATACCTTCATTAAACAAGTTTTATGTGTCACATACTAAGGTTTTTATTTTGACCTTTTGATAACATTGCCATTAATTTCACAAAACTCTGCTTGTGCTAGTCTTGCCTAACAGAAAGAAGCGTACCTACTTTCTATTTTTTTTCCTACTTGCTCTGCCTTTTTTCAGCAGAGTAAAATTAAAAGTTCAGTGACATTGGTGCTTCTAACTGAGTGGCTTAGTTAAAAGTCAGTGCTTCACAAATTTTAGCATCTATCTTGTGCCTTGCAAAGCAGACTACTAACTACTCCATATAACTTTGTTCTGCCTCTTCCTCTGTAGTCTTACCAGTTTCCAGATGAAGCTGCAATTTCCATAGGGACACCTTTGGATCCTCAGTATGTCCGACTAGAAATCCATTACAGCAATTTTGACTTGTTACCAGGTGAGTAATGCTGGGTAGCTGTCTGACAAAGAATTTCAGGATGGAAGTCTCAGACCTCATCTACATGCCTATTAGAAGCCAGCTTCTACATTAAATCTTTTCACATGCTGCTCAGTACAACCTTCAGGACAGTAAGAGTCAACTGGACTGGACTCTCGTTCAGGAAAAATTTAAACTAACTTTAGAAACACAGATAGTTATATCTGCTTAGATTAGATGCATCTTGCTATCAAAAAAGCTAAGCACAACTTCCTGCTATGATACTAGTGGATGTGTTAGGGAAAACACCAGGGAAATGTGGGCATCATGGGAAAAAGGAGCAGAATGGGAAGGGACAGAGTGGCTGCAGGAGAAATAGCTGTATCAAAGGTCAGGATGAAGTCCTGAGAGCCTAGTAATACCACCCCAGGCTTCTACCATGACCTCCAGCACTCAGTCCTTATGACAAGTGATGGAGAATGCCACCATAGCACTTCCTATCATTTTACAGAAGGGGAAACAAAAGTGTGGAATCGTCTGAGACTCTAAGCAAGCCTTCCTGTTAATCTGTGCCTGTTCCCAACCTGCAATTGGGAAAAGGACACTGTAGCTTTTAATGCTTCAAGCCCCATTTCTGATATTTCTGGAGTCATTCCTAAAGGAGTGGTCATTTTTGTTTTACAGGCTTGATTGACAGCTCGGGGGTACGAATCTACTATACGCCGGAGCTACGGAAATATGATGCGGGGGTCCTGCAAACAGGAGTCTTCACTTTCCCTGTGCATTTCATTCCTCCTGGAGCAGAATCCTACAGATCTTATGGCCTTTGCAATTCCAGCCAGTTTGATGAAGTGAGTATGAGGAAAGCCATATGAAATCCTTCTTGATCTTTCTCACTTTAGGTTTTCATCTTGTCCAAAAGCCATTTGGTACAGGCTGCCATCCTAGCCTCCATTTCTGCATGCTGCAAAATGGATATCTATTCCAACAAAACTGCTCAGAACAGACCCAAGATTTGGCCCAAGAGCATTAGCAGAGCTGTGTAACCATGTTAGAACCATGGCTGGAATACCCATTCAACCCATCTAAGTGAAAGGGAAAAAATACCTAAAGGATATAGTGACTTCCCAAGACCATCAAGAGAGTCTGCTCCACCACATGCAAGAGGCCTTTGTCCTGCCATAGGTGTGTGGTACTGATGCAGGAAGGCAGGTACGAGGCTGGGAGGATGTGGTGCTATCTCTCAGGTCAAGAAGGTACCTCTAGAGTGGAGATCTAACATCCCTCAAAACACAGCCAGGAGGCTGCTAACAATAACCAGCTCCAGTGGACTCTTTAATCCAGGGGACTTATCCTCTCTAGGACTGTTAGATGTGAGGTTGCCACTTTCCCCTCTTCCAGACCCCGTCAGTGCTGAGGCTGGGGCAAGACAGAGACATCCCCCACCCCACACAAAGATTGAACCTTTAAGATTTACACTTTGATGTACCATTACATTTTGATGTTTCTTTTAATGGCCCATTGATCAGTGTCTTACAATTTCTGCTTTTACTCTTTCCATTACTTGCTCTTTCTTAGAGTTCATGTATCTGTATGTTTAACTTACTACCTCTCCTGTATCTTGTCTTTGTCTTTTACATAGCTGATAGCAAGCTATGCTTACAGTACCCAGCATGAGATATCACAGACTCACACAACTATGCCAGAGTACCTAAAGCCAGAAGACGAATTTTTGGAAAGGCTCACCAGAGCAATCTTTCAATAAGTAGTGACCTACACAAGGAAATGGGCTTAAACCTCTTTTTAAAAAACATGTTAAGCTGACAATTACAGAAGTTCCATCAAGCTTTTGACTTGATGGACAGGCCCAAATCATAGTGCTGAGCTCTGACTGCCAGGCTTTGACCGACTTCATTTTGAACCACAGATTAATGGGATGCTGGTTCCAGATCTGCATGTCTTTGCCTACATGCTTCACACCCACCTGTCTGGCAGAGGATTGAAAGCTGCTCAATACCGGTAAGAGAAGCAGACTCACAGTATTGGTGCCTGTGCCACAGGATCAGTCCCTGCCTCTTCGGCTAGAGTGGATGAGAATGATGTTCCCAGGTTAGTCTATCTGTCTGTCAGTGCAAAAGACTCTGCAGTGTCTGCCACCTGAGCAGAGAGCATGGGATCAGGACTATGCCTCCTATGAAACAGGTCCAGGCAGTGAGCTCAAGCACTGGACTGCTGCTCATCTACACTGGTCAGCTGATAGACAGAGCCCTGGCATAGCTTGGTCCTGTTAACCAGCCTCACCCCGAGGCTGCAGGAGCACAGTTCTGGGGATTGTGTGGACCAGTTCCCATGGGCTGCATGGGCAAAACTACACTGGGTTTGGTTTTCTCTGCCGTTCTCTCACACTGAAAACTTCAGCATCCCTATGTACTCTCTGATCACACCCCAGCCCACGAAGCATGAATTCTCAGTTTCAAGCTATGAAAATATCAAATAATGGTCTGCAGCATAGCATTTGAACACTGCTTCAGCCACTTAGAAATTGAAAAAAAACCACCAAACAACAAAACCCAGAACTAAAAAACAATTGTGCTTTAGGCCAAGGAGACAACACAGAGGTCCAAGGGTTTGGTAGTACAGGTATAACGCCTGTCTTCTCCTTAGGTTTCTACTTTCAGAATAATACAACATAAGCCAAGCACCACGTTGCAGACAGTTATAGGGAGGCAGACACTTAGTCTGTGCCATTGAGCCAGAGGTTGATCCATGATCCTATCATATTTACCAATATGGGTGTAGCCCGAGATGTCGCAGTGACACTAATCTTAAAGTGCTTACTGTGACACCTTCAAGATCAAGCTCCCTGCCTGTCCTACACAGCATTGCAGGTGCAGGCTCTGGGCAAGGGAAAGGGTAACTTTGGCATTGCCTTAGATGATTGTGCTCTACTGCCAAATCCCCAGGCCCCTGAAATATCTCACACATATGAAATATCATTCAGAAGAATCTAGGTTGTTCCAAAATGGCACATCTGCCTTTTAAGATGGCCTTCTTCAGTTATCCTTAAACAGCAATGGCATCCTACAATCCAGCATGGTTTGAAAACCGTGGCCCTGTGTCTCTCTACTCAGCATGCCAAGGAATGGGGCCAAGTGACTTCAAAGGCAACTTCAGAAAAGTGGGACTAACACTTTAGTCTGGTGGGTATTTTCCCCTCTCTGGCCACTGGTATCTGCAGAATACCTAGTGGTCTCTGTAGCCCAACACAGCAAAAGCAGGGGAAAACTTTTTAAGAACCTTAGGAAACAAACTTGATCTGATATAACTAAAATAAATAAATGAGGATTTCGTAACTTGGAAGGTGCATTGTGAATATGTCTGCTCCCCAGTTATGCCTGTCTGTGTCTCTCAGGAGCAGCATATTATAGCTGGCAAACTCGGTTGCCTCATGGAAAAGCAGCGACGTAGACATCAATAACGCTTTTTAGCTTCAAAGCCATCCCTCAGTTTCAATGCTAGAGATTTCCATCCCTAACTGGCCTGACACTTGGATTGCTATGCTAGACAGCAAGAGAAGAGGAGTGAGCCTCCCTCCGCCTCACTAGCTAGCACCTTCCAAGTGCATGCTCCAAGTACGAGGAGTGATACAATCAGGAGAGTTTTCCTTAGGCTTCAGAAGAAAATGGAATATTCTGTCTCTTTGCTAAGAATCACCTGAGGTCAGCCTAGAGAGGACTAAGGCACCAGTTCAATCTTCTTAGAATTAGCACATCTGAGAAAGGACCTTTACAGACTTTGCCATGCTAGGACCGTGTTCTGAAGCCTTCTCAAGCACAGGCTCCAGAGCTGAAGGTCAAGTGTTTGAAACACCTTCTGAACAGAGATGGTTCAGGCACAATGAGCAGTTGGAGTGACTATTTTTTCTGGGATTTCCCCTGTAATATGCAGGATAACTAGTCCAACTAGTGGAAACCCCAGACTCTTTGGAGCTTGACCTTGGCAGAATATAGCAGTTTGTGACCTTTGATAGCAATTTAGGGGCAAGCCTGCCTCCTTTTTAGGTGTTAATTTCAGAATACCTCAGCATAGGCCAAAAGTCACACATAACCAGTATGTGACTTATCCAGAGGAGCTATTTTGTTCCAGACAATAGCAACAGTTTTTGGCTCCTGCTCTTCATGCGAGTCGCGTGATATACATAAAATGTGTGTCACGTGACAGAGCATCTTCTTTCCTGACTCGAACTTCTGTGAAGCCTGGTCTGCAAGCCAGGTTCCTCCCTCCTGAACCCATTTTGCTATAAGGTGTAGCTGGACAGTGGCATGAGCCTACCAGTTCACCTGCTCAGAGCTGCCAGCACTAGCAAAGCCGGCCTACAACAAGCAAGCAGGGTGTGCAACAGCTGCTGGGGCAGTCTGGCCATGGGCACCACAAGGATTTGTGGCTGCGTGCCTTGATGCACTTTTCCGTGTGCGCTGTGGATGTCCTTAGCAAGATCTAAGGACCTGTAACAGGGATGGTGAAGTAGTGATCAAGCAGAGCAGAGACCACGTAAGAAGCAATGCCACAAAACATTGTAGAAATAGCAAGGAAGAATTCCTATGTGATACTTCTGCATCTACAAGGGAGGTCCTAAGAGCCTGCCAACTCTACTCTGCTAGGGTCAGAAAGTCTTTTTATTTAGGACAGTGTTTTGTAATGCAAATGTTCTTACTTCTGGGATCCCAGATTATCAGCCGAAAGGTGAAAACTGCAAGGCACAACAATTACCAATATGTAGAAAGTCCATATTTGGACTCCAGGCCAACGAGGGTTGGGTGAGGAATTTCAAGTGTATGTTTGGAACTGACTGTCACTGAAAATATGTTGTGTGAGTTATGGTACAAAATGAGACATGATTTCTGGAGGGGATTTTTCTAGGCTCTGTTTATTCCCTGGAAACATTGTAACTTGCTCCCCTTGTTTGTCTTCCCCAGGAATGGTGAGCAGTTGAGGATCATCTGTGAGGACAATAAGTATGACTTCAAACTGCAGGAGATTCGGGATATGAAGGAAATCATCATAATCAAACCAGTACGATCCTCCCCTGGAATGTAGCTGTGGGCGGGCAGGCTGGGGACAGGGCGAGCACCAAAGGTGTCATTGCACATCGACATATTCTGTCCTTCATTTCACCTCAGGCTGTGGCCCGTTGTTTTCACACAATTTCCTGGTCCCCCATGTTGCAAATGGTTGTTTTGCGTGTTTTGCCTGTACTGCTCTAATGGTTTGACCTGCTGCGTTCCCTAGGGGGATGAGATCCTGGTTGAATGCAACTTTCAGACGCTGGATCGGTCAGGGATTACTTTTGTAAGTTTATTTTTCCACCTACAAATCTTCCATTGCTTTTAAAATTAGTTTATCACCATTAAAGTCTTTTGAGTAGACATATCTCTCCTCCCCAAGCAAATATGGCCCTGGTAAAAGCTTCTTGTGTCAGATATAGTATCATACGCATACTGAGGCATGCCTTCCATAGTTGCTCCATGGCTGGAGAGTAGCTCTCCAGAAAGACCTTTCTACTATAGGCTTATGAACAGATCTCAAAGCTATCTTGCATCTAATACCATACAAGCTAACTCTTGTCCAAAACTTCAAGTGCAAGAAGCAAAACTTGCAGCTGAGTTGGTTTTCAATCACTGAACACTTGGATTTAGTGGACAGGCAGAAGTCAAATGCAGAAACTGACCTAATCTGGAAGATAGGTTTGATTTGGATTTCTCAAAATATGATGATGTTCTTTTTAGTTCTTCTTACTCAGACGAGGCGTCAGTTTTGCAGAACTTTTCCACGTAAACAGTTATTGTCATACTTCATACCTTATTTTAGAGCATATGCCATGCAGAGGAGTTAGTGATGTTATTGCACTTACAAATGTACATGAGAAACTGAGATTCAACCTAAAGAGGATTACAGAGTTGATAGTCACAGAAAGCAACACTGACTGATTTGGTTTGGCCCATTCCAAATGTAGGGATAATCTGAAAAATTCTGATCTGGATGGCACACTCAGTTAATTCCCTGTGTGTTTTAGTTGAACTTTCCAAAGTTTCAGATTTTGTAGGCTGAAATACAAATATAGTAGTCTTCCTGAAGGAGAGAATAAGTAGATTTAGGTTATAAAACCACAGAGCAGTCTATTTATCAGACTCTTGTGAGGATACTTTGATTCTCTGTTTCTAACTCTCAGACAAACTAATGAATTCTTTTTTTTTTCCACCAGACAGGATCTGCATGAGCTGTGAACAAGAATGTTTACCTGAGGAGAAATAGTCTCCTCGTTATGTCTAAGCAAACCTCTGAGTCATCCTTGTGTCTTTCAGGGTGGGCCAAGCACCATGAACGAGATGTGTCTCACATTCCTCTTCTACTACCCTCGTAACAACATCTCCAGTTGTATGGGCTACCCTGACATTTTGTACATTGCTCAGGCACTCAAGCAGGAGGCCTCAGAGTGAGTTCAGAGTTAACATGTTTGTGGAAGTAGCAGAGTGAAACGTAGCTATGAAGAATAGCAAAAGGAAAAGACAATGAAAATGAAATATTGCTGATAGGAACAAAAAAACATGTATCTGGAACCGTCAAGTTGAGCTCCCTTATTGCAGGAATCTATCAACTGTGATACTTTAACAATCTCTTCTCCTTTATTATTTCCCCTTTTCTTTCTTTTTTTCTCCCTCCTCATCTTCTCATCGTTTGTCTTCTCCACCTCCCCATTGCCCCTTACTCTCTCCCCAGTGCAGTGGAAGGAATGATGGCCATGGACTTTGTTGACTGGGACAATGAGACTGTCAAAATTGCAGAGAGAGCAGCCAAAGAGGCAGATCAAGTAGTCATGATTAAAACCATTAATGTAAGTCTTTCTTTCTGAGCAATTTGTGGTTGGGGAAATGGTCTCAACTCTGATGTTCCAAGAGAAACGCACAGCTGAGAGAGAGAGCAAATACACACCACCTTGGGTAACACCAGCTATTCACAGTTTATCAATGGCCATAGGAACTGAAAGAGATTACCTGAAGTACGAAGTCCTGTCTCTTAGGCTGCAATTGCAAGTAACTGCTCAAGACATATAAAGTCACCACTTAACTTCGAACTTAAAATGATGAAAATTCTTCTCCAAAGAGGAAAAAACACTCTTCTGTCTTGGTAGTATAACAGTGCCTAGAGAGGTGATGCCATGGCAGCACATTTTTGACAGAATGAGCAATAAAATAGTGCTGAAGACCCCTCGGACAATGTGCACACAAAGGAAGTTAGGATGTTCCAGAAAATCCACATACATGGGATCTAGCTTCCTAGCCCTCACTTATCTGGCTGCATTACAGTGCATCAGTCTGGTAGCTACTCATCTTAGAGATAAATAAGGGAAAAAATTTCTTAAATTGAGAAAGGATAAAAATTCCATCTTCTTCTCTCTCAGAGAGCTTCTCTGCTGTCAGAAGGGAGACCCATGTCATGACTTTCTCTGAGATGGCTAATTACACCTCCAGACAGCAAGAAAACTGACTAAAATGCATCCAAAACTTGCAGTGTTATGTCAGAGTCTTGTGGCTCCCAACTTAAAAACAGATAATGTAATTTTTTTCTTCCCCTTTTCCTTCCATCCCCAGGAACTCCAGAGAAATGAGAGTGGTCTAATCAGAGACATTAGTATTCCAGAGCGGGCTACCTGTCACAATATTTCTGGACACCTCTCACTGTCAGGTCTGAGGGCGACTGCAAACCTTTGTTTGACTGCTGTACACACTCCTGAGTCATCAACCACCAAAGAAACTGCTTCGTTTCCTCTTCTTTCCCTCACACAGCTGGTGTTTGCTTGGCTTTTATTGGCCTCTTGAGTATGGGAAGTGAGAGGCAGAATACCAGAAAAGATCACTGGGCTGTTGAAGAAGTGTCTGTAATTACCACCTGGTAGCAGAGTATTCCAGATCTGATGGCCCTGAATATGATACCTTTGGAAGAAATGGGTTCGACAGGCATTGGCATTTATTTTACTTTCATTAAAAAATGCTTTTTGGTATAGTTTGTTCCGAATCAGAAAAAGCAATGTATGATAATGCAGTAAAAACAGGCATACAGTCATCTCTTCAATAGCTGTTGCTTAATTATTAAATCCAGAACTTTCATAGATGAGCTACTGTATGCATTTGCTCACTGGGATTTCAGTAATCATTATCTAGTCTCAAGCTATCTACACACTCCCTGTACTTCAGGCAGTATAGAAAACTAGGCTCCTTAGCTATTAAATAATGTGTTTGATTCTAAAACTAGTCCTGCCTTATCCAGGAAGAAAGTATATATTCCAATGACTGCATGGCAGGGAATTTACCTGCTGATTGCCAGCTAATAATGAGGCAATGACTAGGGGTTTCATGAAAAATAGACATGATATACTGTCATATAGTAAACACATGAATTCCAATTTTACAAAAGCTAAATGATTTGCTGTTCTCTTTTCTTATCTTTTTCCCCAATGAGTACATGAGAATTAGAAAAGGAAATGTGATGATAGCTATGGTTTTTTGTCACCATACTGACTCTTCCAAATTTCAAATTTCATACTGGTAGTTTTCAACAAATTCTCTCCCCACTTTCCTCAAGGCAGAACCTTTCTGTATTTTGACAATAATTAGTACACTAGATAAAAACACTCTCAGACTTCATAAGCAAGCATCACAAAACAGAGTCATTAGGAGGGTAACTAACCACACAGAGTGGATTCCTTCCTCATTGGGCTGATGAACATTTGTGAGCGAGGAATTATCTTGGCTAAAACAGAAGCATGGACAGAAAAAAATTGTTATATTTGCCTTGAAGGCAAGTTCATGAAGAGAATCTATGATATTCAAAGAGAATCATCCAGACACTCAAAGCCATGTCCCAAATAAAACATACATTACTGAGATCACTGTGCTCTGCTTCGTAACATGGTCTTAATTCTCACTAAATATTTCGCCCTTCATATTCCTATGGGAATATATCACCTTCCTTCTCACTCACAGAGTAGCCAAGTTGCAACAAGGCTGGTAGTACTGAGTGACACATTCATCCTTCCTTGTACTTAATGAGGGCAAGAGGTTTTAGAGTAGGATAGGATAGAATAGAATAGAATAGAATAGAATAAAATAGAATAGAATAGAATAGTTCCAGTTGGAAGGGACCTACAACTATCATCTAGTCCAACTGCCTGATCACTTCAGGGCTGACCAAAACTTAAAGCGTGTTGTTAAGAGCATTGTCTAAATTCCTCTTAAACACTGACAGGCTTGGGGCATTGACCACCTCTCTAGGAAGCCTGTTCCAGTGTCTGACCACCCTCTCAGTAAAAAAGTGTTTCGTAATGTCAAGTCTGAACCTCCCTTGATGCAGCTTTGAACTATTCCCATGCATCCTGTCACTGGATCCCAGGGAGAAGAGACCAGAACCTCCCTCTCCACTTCCCCTCCTAAGGAAGTTGTAGAGAGCAATGAGGTCACCCCTCAGTCGTCTCCTCTTCGAACTAGACAAACCCAGTGTCCTTGGCCATTCCACATAGGACATGTCTTCCAGCCCTTTCACCAGCTTTGTTGCCCTCCTCTGGATGCATTCAAGGAGTTTCACATCCTTCTTAAATGGTGGGGCCTAGGCTGATTTTGGCTGGTATAGAGTTAATTTTTTTCATAGTAGCCAGTACAGGGGCTGTGTTTTGGATTTGTGCTGGAAGCAGCGTTGATAATACAGAGGTGGTTTTGTTATTGCTGAGCAGTGCTTACACAGAGTCAAGGAATTTTCTGCTTCTCACCCCACGCCACCAGCAAGGAGGCTGGGGGTGCACAAGAAATTGGGAGGAGACACAGGTGAGAGAGCTGACCCCAAATGACCAAAGAGATATACCATAGGACATCTATCAAATAAAGCTAGGGAA